GCCGTGTGTGTATCCTGTCGCAAAATGCGCTGAAAAGTCCTACATGACGGTAATAATGTGATTAAGGTGTTTACATGTCTATTCTGCTCTTCAGTAATGCGGCTAAAATAGGAATACTCCACATGTCTTAATTCGAATAGTGTTTACTTCGATTATGACTTTAGCCAGATTAAGGTAATCAAAAATCTCTGTTTACATGGTAGATTTTTAATCAGAGTATTGTCTTAATCGTATTAAAATCGGAGTATTGTTGTCCATGTAAACGTACTGATTGTCCAATTCTCACCAAATTTGGCTCCTGACCTAAAGACCTCTATCACAAAATATAATTTTTTTATATTCAAAACCATGCTGTCACAGCTACAGCTATACTGGGCTGTGTTGACTTAATGTGGTATTTCTTTTTGGCAAATGTCGAAGTTGTGGCAGTGTGATGTGTTTGTTAAAGATCTGTGCTGGAGGTCAGGACGTTGTTAGTTCAAATCTTACATGTAGTGACTCATGAAGCATTGTTGTTTCATTCTTCCCTTTGAGTTATGTGTTGTGGTGAGTACATGTTTTTCCTTAATGATGTAGTCAGGATTGGAAACTGGAATCTGAAGGGCAGCGAGGTGAATCAAGGACTGATCAGATGGACTCCTTCTAACGAACTGAGATAAATAATGCATAATACCTGAGGACATTTACCTGTTGTGTACTTTTCTGACAGTACAGCCATGTCATTTACCCCCTGCTGATTTCTGTTTTGAGGAAAACTCAGTCGGGAACTATTCCTCCATAATATACTTTGTGTTGCAATTCACTTTTCCATTGTCTGCTCTGTCCATCTTTCTGATGACTTGCCCTGAGTCCAGGAGAGGCCAGGTGCCTGCCGGTAGAAACAGGAATTGCTCCTATTAAGCGTGGTGCTCATAAACCTGAGATACGTCAATGGAGCAGACATCCATCATCTAGCCGTCTTATCAAGATATTTCCCTGATGGCAGCATATGGCTAGAAGACGGAAATCATTTATTTTACGACCATGGCACCCACTCACAGGGTTGCTCTGTAGTCTACCTTTAAAGAACCCTTTAAAAATGCCAGTAAAATACAAAAATACCACCAATCTTCATCTACCTTCCAAAGTGCTGATTAGAGAACTTGAACCTTCTCCTTCATAATCCAAACCATTTTAGCTGAAATGGAGCAGAGAAAGTCTCACTACTTTTTGAATATATTTGTAGTTAACTGGGATTTAATAATCAACAACAGACTGAACTTTTTTGAAGTTTATTTCCTGGCCTAAAAAAGCCCAGTCGACAGCATTTGTGACTTAGGCCCAATCCCAATTCTACCCCTTAGCCCTTCCCCTTTCCCCTACCCCTCCGTTTCACGAGTTCACGTGAAGGGGTAGGGGTGTCTTGATTCTCTTTTGGTTGGAGGGGTAGGGGTAAGGGGAAGGACCAGATAGCCCTTCAAACGAAGATTTTTAGGGACCACACTTCAAACGAAGGGGTATGAATTATCTCAGCATAAACCGGCTTCAGCGGCAACATGGCTGCCCGAGCGAACAAAAAGACACATAAATGTAAGCATTTTTGGCATTAATAAAGATTTTAACGAAAAGTAATCATTTGTTTTATGTTGCATTCAATCGTGAGTTCATATTACGGTCATGTTACTCAAAGAAATGTTTGCAAAAAATCGCTAATATTTGCTAACTAACGGCATATCAATACAGACTGCACAAAAGTGCCACAACATATGTTCATGTCTGATCAGGGTGATAACCATCGTAGACATTGAGGAGGGCTAGTACCCCCAATAATTAGAAATCGCTAAACCCTTTTCTCAAATATTGCCAATTCGAGAGAGAGAGAGAGAGAAGATGAAAGATGCGTTTATGCGCGTCTGTGCGTTTCTCT